CATTTCATTTGTGCATATCCGACTCATTGACTCGAATTCGGGATAACGCAAATTTATTCACAAGACAAATGAGGAGATTTCCAACCAATGCAATTATCAGTTTCCAAATTGTGGCGTAGGGATGCTCCATCTCCGTTCGTCTTTCCGGTATCCAAATTTTCGAATTAAGTGAAAACCTGAAAGTAATCCTGATTGTCCTTCATGCTTGTGAGTAATTCGAAACAATGTTGAAACACCGAAAACGGGTGGAGCAGGAAGAACAATAGAAAAGCCTATTGCTTCATGTAGCCTAAGGTTGACCAGGCACCAATGACCATGTTTCGATCGATTAGCCCCTTGCTAATTTTGTGGTGCAATTGTAGGCACTGGTAACGATAAATTCCAAGCCAATTGACCAGTCTTGAACGAGGAGAAACGTGACAACAAATTAAATGTCAATTACAGGGTTTAATTTTTTTTTTTAACAGGTCCAGTTCAACCGGCACCAGGAAATCGAGACACTGCAACATCGCCAATTCGTTATTCACTCCCCTCGACCTCCTCGCAAAATACGGAAGGGCGCAGTGGAATTGGATCGACTAGGCAACCATCCAGCCCTGCCTCCGTACCTTCTAACGTAAAAGGTGGAAGTGGAGTGCCAAACGAACATGACATGCTGGCTACGCTGCAGGAAGCGCAAGCGAAAATCCTGCTGGAACTGAAGAGCATATCTTCCTCCATGAAGAGTATGGTGGAATATCAGGAAAAGCTTTTACTCATGCAAGCAAGGGAATGAATCAGATCGATTGGGCGTCCTTCTCGCTCGTCCGGCAGATTCATAGCTCTTCAGAATCTTTCACGGGAATGCCACTGGGAACTTGGTAGCGACTTTCCTGGAATGGATTCAGTCTTCAAGTTCTGTCCCCTACTATATCATTTCAACTTTCCAGCCATCAATTTACGCCTCGCAAGAGTAAAGGAAAAGGATTTGAAAGTGATCTTTTTCTTGCGCTTTAGAGCCTTCGCTGTCTTTCTATCATGTTCGAAAAATGCGAATATTTAAATATAAGAACGTACAAATAAAAATTCGAGTGTTGCAGAAATTCTAATTGACGTGAATTGGTCGAAAATTTGGTTGAAAATTTATATCATCGAATGTTATTGCTAGGGCTGTCAATTAGATGAGATTAATCGACCGATTAATCGAATAAATTATTACACGCGATTTAAAAAATTAGTAGAAATTAATATAATTTTTATCGACCCCCCTTACTTCCCCTGAATGGCTCTTTTCCCTTCTAATTTTATTGTGTAGTTCATAATTTTGGAAAACAACCGGAAACGAGTGTTTTATCAAGGGAATGAAATGTATTGATGGCTTATAGAAGGTAGTCGTTTTCGTACTACTAACTCTTCCTCTAAAACGACATATTTTTGGAAAAAGGGAACAAACAAGAAAAATACCAATCGGTTTCAAACTATTACAAAAAAAGCTTCTTGACCACCTCGCATCTACAAGCGTACAGGTAAGCATTCCGTGTCCTTCTGCCTAACCTAGCCTTCGGCCTTTAAAGGCATAGCCTTGCAAGCCTCGCGCGTCAGACTAAGGTAAACGCGGCCTATGGCAGAGCAACCGAAATGTCACTGGATGCGAATGGGGAAAATAAAGTCGTAATGAAGAAGCTGCAAGGGAAAGCACAGAATGAAGAGGGGAGTTTGGCAGTGGCATGGGAATAGAGGCCAAAAAGAGGATAATGCCAAGACTGGGGAGTGAGAAGCTACGTGTGAGTGCACCGGCGAAAGTCTGAGGGGGCCCCCCAAAGTAACCGAGAGAGGGGGTAAAGCCAGGGGCAGGCGAGAGAAGAGGATACTGAAGTGTAAGACCCTCTCCTATACCTCGTTTGCTCCTATTTTTGCTCTTCCATCCTGTGTTGCCCGTAAATTTTAATAAATCTTTAAATCTCCGCGTAATGAAGTGTCACTGTATACGTCCATGGATAGCAACTGCTACGTTAGCGACTGCATCGCGATCTCATCCAGGCTTTCAAGATAATTAAAGGAATAGATAATGTTGAGTGTGGTAGGTTTTTCCAGTTTGGTGGCAGCAAGGGAACGAGAGGTAACCGACTTAAGTTGCGCGAACCGCAGGTGCGGCTCAGGTCGAGACAGGAATTCTTTACTTGCAGAGTGGTGAACGCGTGGAATGCGTTAGATGACGAAGTAGTGGNAGGAATTCTTTACTTGCAGAGTGGTGAACGCGTGGAATGCGTTAGATGACGAAGTAGTGGTTGCCCTTCTGTGACTATCTTTAAGAAGACACTGGATGCTTTCATGGACAGGCAAAAAGGTGGGGGGGCAATATTGACGTTAGATACTAGACAGTAAGCAACTAGGATAGTCAAATAACAAAAAAAAATAATACAAAAATATAAAAATATCCTGCCTACGCTGGAGGGGGCTTGCATTGGCAGCTAACAGTGATATTGGCCAACTCTACCCCCACACAGCCAATGTGGGTCCCACGTGGTGTGCTGCATGTGTATGTGGAATTCACAACCAGTTGAAACTCAGCAGATTTTTAGGTCGTACACAGGATAACAATTACCCCCAACTTGGGTGTTCCCAAGTTTTCCTCAGGAATATTTTTGGGGTCTCAAATTCGATAACATGACAAACCTTGAAATTCAATATAAAACCCCACAAACTCTTTCAATCATGAAAGTTACATGTTTGCATTTGGCTTCACAAGACGAATGCACTTTGTGTCAGGGGCGGATCCAAGGAGGGGGGGGGGGGGCAACCGCCGTCCGTGCTTAATGCTTAGCCGTCGTCCGAGAACGTTCTGGACAGCCATCTAGCCCACTGTCACAGAGACAGAGAGATTCCAGGATTCTAGATATTGCAGGAGAAACCATGGCTACAACATCTCTCCAAAATGTTCATGTGGATTCAGTATCGTCTACTCGACCATCATTTGTTGGCACAACTACTGCAGGTAATCCAAAGAATTACAGTTCCTATAAAAGCACTACAAATCTCCTGTACTTCATTCCCTATCTCAGGCTCCATAAGCAGTGTATTTACATATTGTGGTTTGACATTAAATAAATTCTTAATGATTCTTGGTAATAAATCAATTTTATTCGAACAGGACCGTTCCTTGTGACAGGGCGAGACGCAGCAGTGTCATCAACTGCATCTTCGCTTTCACCGTCGTCTTCGAAGAATACCTGGAAGACCTGTGGTGTGGGAATCAAGAGGAAATTATTCTCCCCCTCCTTTGCCCTATCGAACCCGATCGGGGAAAACGGCGCGAAAACGGTGGAGAAAAAAGGCGACATGACAACAATTTTGGAAATGCAGTTGTCGATCTTGAAGGAATTGACCAGAATCTCTTCTTCTGCGAAGGAGATGGTAGAATATCAGAGGAGGCTTATCCTTGTGCAACAGAAAATACCCATCGAACCAGGTTTTAGACCCTGCCGGAAGTCCCGCTGCTTCATACATCCTCATACGCCCCAAGACAGATATTTTTATTCTTCCTCTACCAAGGAATCCTTCGAAATTCACACCCCTTTGACTTGCTCAGACATCAATGTCATCTACCTTATCACCTGCAGAAGATGTTCTGCGCAATATGTGGGAGAAACGGGAAGATCTTTTTCTGATAGAGCCAAGGACCACATCAGGGACGCTCGAAAATCTCGAGGACCCATTGGAATTCATTTCAACAGAGACAACCATCAGAACATCGATCTCGTCATACTTCCAATTGAAAGAGTAGAAAGCAACGAAACCATTCAGAGGAAAGTACGAGAAGACTTTTGGATCAAGAAATTGAGACCCTCCATCAATACTCTGACGGATTGACTCATCCCACATTTCCGCTTCCTTGTTTAAAGTCATCCGTTTCCCCCCTTCCTTTCTTTTCCCTTCCGTTTTCCTTGTTTGGACCTTTATGGGTGTGGTCAAGCGTGAAATTTAGAGGGGAGTTATATATTTTTAATTAATTTTCCTTTAAATCTATTTAAAATTTAACCGCATAAATCTTTAAATTATTTTATGTTATTACGGCTTTCTTCTGCAAGGCATGCAATCCCTTAAATTTGTATGTTTGGATTCCTTGGATCTTGCGATTTTTTTCCTTCTTTATAGTTTGAGCTCCCGTTTGTTACAGTCGAGGATCGATATAACAAGTCTTTGTGGAACGAATTTCCCTTTCTATGATATTTTTTCTCCAGTTCCCAACCGTTTGCTCATTCGCATGCAGGTCGAAAAGATTCTCAATAATGAAGTTCCGCATAACGAATTGATCGGTTTTTTATTATGCTATTTTTTCAAAGGTAAAAAACTGTTCCGTATTACGAAATTGAAATGTGCTGCGCTCTTAAAAGCCCTTTCGTCCATCCCTGGAAAATCTCATTTATAAATTAAGCACGTTCCATCCATATATGGGTGTGGCCGTGTGAAGCAAAGGGGATCTTTCAGTCAGTCGTAATCTTAGGGTGGATTTTTGAATAGAGAACTATACGATAATGCAGTTTTATTCTAGTGAAAATACCTGATATTTGATGGAAGTAAAGCAGCATTATTGGATAATTCTCTGTTCGAAAATCCACCCTTACAATGTAAAAGATGAGGGTCAGGTCGAGTCCGGAATTGTACTCGATCGGGCAATCGAAGCCTTCAATTATTAAGTTTCTTCGGCCGTTTTGTAAAGGCCAAATGTTGAACCTGAAGCCTTTTGAAACATTGAGTGCTCTGCAGACCACGGGTCAAGGAATCGTCCAGGAAAGAGCACTGCTGACATTGGATGCTGCATGTTCATGGCACTCGCTTAGGGCTTCTCATATTTTCATGAATGGGCAAATACTTGTTTTGTTGTTGTTGTTGTTGCAATGAATGATATTCTGAAGTGAAATTGGAATAACCTTCACAGGTCTTTTTTCCAGCGAAATGTGAGGACTTCCTGAAATAGAATTTTCCTAATAAAAACCTTTTTTAGCCTGTTCATTCGACTTCGTTATATCGAGCGTAGATTGTATTTGAATGATTTTCTTTCCTATCTACATCACCATATTATTTTGCTCCTGAGGAAATGAACTTCATGTCCTGAAAAGTTGAATGCATTCATAAATGCATAAATGATAAAAAGTTAGGCAATAAAAGCTAACTGATTCTCCAGTTTATTTCTAAATATTGCTTATTCCTTGCAGTTCTCTGGAGCTTTCTTCTGGATCATATTTGGGCAATACTTCTGCGTCTTCCTTTAGTTGTTTTCCCTTCTATATTTTCTCATATTGACGATTCTGCGGAAGACACAACTAAGGTTTCTTTTTTACACTGTACGCTTTCACCCATTTAAAAAACCCTCCTTCTCATTCCCCCACAAACTAGCACGTAGCCTGTATTTAATGAAAGTCAAGCTTCGCAAATCTCTCTCTGATATTTCCTTCGCATTGAGCGCATCCTCGAAGGAATCGATCAGAAACGGTCAAAACCAGCGTCACGTATGGTTGTTCCAGTTTTCTTCAAGGTTAGTTACTCTCTTTTCCAGTCACCGTAGATTCCGACGGAGAATCAGCACCACCGAAGAATCTGAGGATTTCATGAAACGTATCGAATCTGGCTTCTCCCTCTTCGTAATCGCAAATGCCAATCGAATGTGGAAGACTCTACAGGGCTTTTGGTCTGAAGTAAGAGGGAGGGATAGTTATAAAGGTTATCTTAGATGGTGCCTCGCATAATGGAAAGTCAAAGGACAATCTGGAAAACCCACATTCCTAAAGCCTTGGATTATATCCATCCATGCGTTTCCTCTCATGAACAAGTAAAGGCGCGATCAGACGCTATGATGATGCTCACATGGAGCTTTTCACATACGTGTATGAGCGAATGCGAGAAGGCGATCAAACGCTATCGGACAGGCTTCAGTTTTTATTATCTCCTCTGCTCAATTTCCCTCTAGCACAATGCATCTCCAGGCTCTTGACCGAAGCCGAATGGAATTTACGGACAGGCGAATGATAATAGCTGGAGCCGCTCTGCTGTCATTTTGTTCCGATGTTTTCTGTTAATAAAATATTTAAGGATGTGTCTGGTTTTTCAATCATTAGAAACATCTTTGGGTGTGAAGGTGGTCCATATAGCTTCAGAGGCCAGAAACAGCTTTAAATTTTCCAACTTGGTTTCTGCTGGGATTTCTAGTCAATCATCCTCGGAAGCAATGTTGAAGAAATAAAAAATATATAGAAATGCCAAGTCAGCAAGATCCGTGTTACGATTTCCTTCCCAGTCTCCCGAAAATAAAAAGTCTTGCTCCTTAGGATCTGTCCCGACATTTTCCATGCAATTGTAACCAAGGCGACAAATTAGTTGTCTGATAACAACCTCTACTCTAAAAATAAAATTGAAATCATAGTCGATTTGCATATTGGATTCTGAATGGTTTTACAGAAAAATAGCACCGACACATGAGCAGGAACTAACCAAGTATTGAAATATCTGATTGGAAAGAAAGTTCTCGGAATTTCATGAACAATTATTACAACCC